ATAAATGTCGAAAGTATAATTTCGCAAGGAATCTTACCAGGGCTTAAACCAATCAACTTATAAGGATTCAGCTTTGAAAAGTATCTTTGAGCCAGTATTTAGCCTATACAGTGGAGTTGACAGGGCTTTGAGCCATTAAGAAACCACCGCTCTATGATTTATGGGCCTAAACTGGGTCCGACATTTATTCATGGGGGGGGGATAGTAGTCTATTATTCGACGAACCGAGATTTGAATCTGCAAGTTTAAACTTGGCTTGCAGCGGGGGGGAGTGGGGGGGGGAAGGGGGAAGGGGGAAGGGGGAAGGGGGAAGAGGGGGGGAAGGGGGGGAAGGGGGCAGAAGGGGGGAGAGAAGGGGGAGAGAGAGGGGGGGAAGGAAGAAAGAAGAAAGAGAGAGAGGGGGACGAAAGGTGGACGAGAGGGACGAGAGGGGAAACAGAGACTTGCATGTACAAGTAGCACAAGACAAGAGAGAGACCGAGAGATCGGAGCAGAAGTTCAGAACCCGTGGGCGGTTTCTGGGTGATAGGCTAACGGTCTCGGTCACGTGCTATGTAGTGTCAGACTGATTGACGGACTTTTGACTTTCCCTGACCCATGGCCCACGACGCTGGATTCGTGGCGTCCGTTCGCCTGCCCCTTGTTCCAAAGCCCCGGGGACGGGGGAGACGACCCAAGCTGGGTGATCATCCCGATGCTAATCCAGACAGCGTAAGTACTAGTACGTAGTAGGGACTCCTACCAAGGACCAAGTAGTAGTACTAGTAGTAAGTAGTAGTAGTAGTAGTACGTTCATGGATTGCGGGATTTGACCACACAGTCCCAGCCCCAGCCCCAGTCCCAGTCCCAGTCCCCGTCCCCGTCCCCGTCCCCGTCCCCGTCCCCGTCCCAGTCCCCGTCCCGCTCCCACTCCGCACCGTACGATCGATCTGGAGGATCATATGGAAATCCTCTTGTTCCATCATCTCCCCCGGCGGGAGTGGATGGTGCCTACGGAGACGGGAGACGGGAGACGGAGTACGTAGTTAGTACGTAGTACTTGTAGTACCAAGTACTACTACGTACAGACTCTTTTCTGCATGACATCGGGACCCATGCGTGCTTGATGATGCGGATGCTCAGTTGCGCTGTACTGGTAGGACCACATGTACAAGTACTAGTAGTCTTCTGGCAGCAGCGACGCGTCAAGAGGGCAAGAGCGGATGCCCGTAGACAAAGTCCCCGTCGCTTGTTTAGGTCGCTTTGGGGACTAGCATGGATCAGGGATCCGAAGGCTGTACAGTACAGTAGGTACAGTACAGGACTGTACTGTACTTAGTCCTACTACTACTACTACTAGTACGTACCTACAGTACTTAAGCAAAAGCAGAGGTGGGACGGGCGAGAAGAGTGGAGCCCGCCCGGCCTGGCCACTCACAGCAATCGGATCCCCGCGAGCCCAGCCCGGCTAGATATCCGGCGCATCGCTGATTCGCCGCCAGCAGACCCACTCGCAGCCAGACCCACAACCAGACCCATCGCCAGACCCATCGCCAGACCCATCGCCAGACCCATGAAAGCCCGCGCCGCGCCCCGCCCCTTGGAAATCGTTCAGCCCAACCAGCTACGGCTAGTGCCACCCCACGTCCCGGCTCCGACTGACTGTCTGACTGTCTGACTGTCTGACTGTCTGACTGTCTGACTGTCTGACTGTCTGGCTCTCTGACTTGACTGACCGTGTCTGCCCTGCATGCCATCCGACGTTCGCATCTTTTCCCATCTTTCCAATCTTAACACAACTCTCGACCTTTTCGACCTCGACATCATTAGACTCGAATCGAGTGAGTCGAAGTCAAAGGGCTCGCCTCGACTCGACTCCACTCCACTCCACTCCACTCGACTCGACGTTCCCAAAACTTATCCATCCTTCCACTCTGTCCTCGCCCGTCGTGGGTAAACATCTTCCCGTTCCAGTGATCGATCATCCTCTCACAGCACTCGTCCAGAGACCTGGCTAGCCAACCCGGCCCAACCCAGCGAGCCACCCAGCAATCCAGCAATCCAGCAATCCAGCCTTCCAGGCCACTTCCGCCCGTCTCTTCCGCACCGCACTGCCGTCTCGTCTTGGGAAAGATACCTCCCCATCGCATTATTGGCATCGGAAGTCTGGCCGATCGTCAATCGCGAAACGCCCGCTGCGTCGGCGCTTGGTCATCGCTTCCGGCAAGTTGGTTGTCGGAAACTGGCGTGTATTTTCCACCTCACTCACTACAGCTGTCCCGGCACTCGGGCTGCACGCTCGACCACCAGGAGGCCGGCCAGCATCCCCATCTCGACATTCGAGACCGACGGAAGTTGTCGGAAGTTGTCGGTCAGAGATCTCTCGACTCGGCCAACAATTGTGATCCCACACGATCCGTAGATTAGATACCTGCATCCAGACACCATGGCAGCCGCGGCAGGGAGAATGCCGCCGCTGAGGAAGGATCCAACCATTGCTGCGTGCACGCGTATGACCTCGACCGGCAGGAAGCTCACGTACGAGCTGAAGGTGATCCAACAGCCAGAGCGGGCAAGAGCGTGTGGTTCAGGAGCGAAGTGTAGGTTCCAATCCATCCCCCGAATCTGGCAAGGCAGCTCGCTAATCAATGTCTCCAGCATCGGCCGATAGACGGCCGGTGGACCCGCCACCCGTGGTCGAGCTTCGGATCTACGAGGGAGACGGCATTGGCGACGCGAGGCACGATATCACCTTCGGCTATGGGGCCAACTTCTTCCTCTTCGCGACCCTGGAAGTGGCTCGCCCCATGGCGCATGGCCGTGTGCAGTAAACCTCGGCGCCTCAGGTCCCGGTGCTCACAGGAATGCCCGTCTCGGGAATGGCCTACCTCGATCGACCCAAGGAGGCCGGATATTTCATCTTCCCGGATCTGTCGGTCCGCCATGAGGGACGGTACATACTCAGCTTCAACCTGTACGAAGAGACCAAGGATGCCAAGGACCGTGACGCGGACCCCAAGGGGTCGAAAGGCGAGGCGGACCCTTCATTTGACTGGCGCTTGGAAATCAAGTCGGATATGTTCACCGTTTTCAGTGCAAAGAAGTTCCCGGGTCTCGCCGAGAGTACTTCGCTGAGCCGGACCGTGGCCGAGCAGGGGTGCCGAGTGCGGATTCGTCGCGATGTTCGCATGCGACGCCGGGATGATAAGGGTGGTAACAACGATGGTGAGTCTCAAGATGACGAGTACGCTCGTACTGCGCGGACTGCTCGTGCGGCCGAGCAGGAGGCGTTTGCCCGGTCGAGGTCCAACAGCATGGAAGGCCGGCAACCCATTGCACCATACCACGACGCCCCGCGGTCCAGATCTCACTCGCCTGCGGACCCCCAAGCGATCCGTCCTGCCGGTGGCTACCTAGGCGGATTCGATCATCATCAGAACGGGGCGAGTCAATTCGCAGCTCCGGCGCCCCATCCCGCGCCCCCTCCACCGCCGCCCCAACATCCAGCATACCCTCCCCAACCGGCGTACCATCAACAAGGTCCCCTCCAGCACGATCCGCGCTACCCTGCCCATCACCCCCCGCCAGGCCAGCATTACGGGTACGAGCGAAATCCCTCAGCACCGACTTACGGCGCGGAGCCGTACCGAGACCGAGAGATGGTGGAACAGCCAGGGTTCAGGAGAGCATCCGAAGCCAGCCAGCCCCACTACCCGCCAGCACCGTATCCTCAGCCAAGTGCTCACTATCACGGGATCGATTCATTCCAGAGTCGTCCTCCGTCTCGCGCATACGCGCCTCCGACGCCGAGCCCGGCCATTACTCGCTTACCACCCCTGAGAAATCTGAACGAGAAGCCCGACGGTTTCCACGCGTCTCCCGCACCACTCTCAGCTCTGAATCATTTCTCGCAACCTCCGCCGAGCCCCCGTTCCGACCGGCTACCTTCATACAGCCTATACCCTCCTCCACCTGTCCCTCTCGTGCCAGCTATTGCGGCCTCTCCTGCCCCAGCGGAGCCCCTACACGCGGGCTCAAAGCGTTCGTATGATTCTACCTTCAGCTCCTCCGCCATCACGCAACCGCTGCACAACGGTATGCGTCCAGGAAGCTCCCACGGGGAAGCTGCGTTCGATGACGACGACGACGAGGAGGACGAGGAGATGAACCGGCCCAAGATGACCTACAAACGTGCCGACGGGTCCGACTTCATCCGCTCACTGCCTTCTCAGGACTAGGCGTGGTCTTTCTTTTGCATTTGAATTTTGGTCCCTTCGGCGTTGGAGCTTGTGCAGCTTGCCTGTTCTATACCTCATGACGCTCTACGGTGGGGATACGACAGCTCAACATCTCCTCGAGCATCGAAAACTCCCCTGCTCCTTGCCCCCCCCCCCCCCTCTCGCCATCAACTTAACGACTGTTTCTTTCTCCCAGGCCAACGATCCACGACTTTGCACAAACTACAATGAAATATCTACCTTTCGTGTCGTACGAATTACGATCCTCTCTTCCTTCTCCTTGAACTAAAAGACAAATTGTCTGCTTCTTGTTTGCCTCAAGATTGGGTGGATAGCGCTCTGCACGCACCGTGCTCTCTTTTTCCATTTGTTTCAAATTTCTTTTGTCTGTGGGCATGGGGCTGGGCTGGAAATGGGACTGGGACTGAGACGGGCGGATGTTGGACTAGGGAGGCGAGGCTAGAGGGGGAAGGGACGGACATTCTGTAATGTAGGGGGTGTTGTGGTCTTGTGCCGGTCGATGGGAAAAAGGAGGAGATTTGAAAATCTTCCTCATCGACGGATAAGCAGTATAAGTTCCGCCGAGTATGACCTCACCTGAATGTATCGACTTGAGAAGAACTCGAGATGGGGGAAGTCTGGCCAGGAAAACTCTACACCTATCCCCACAATATCAGGGCCATGCCATTTTATTTTTTTTATTCCTGTGACGTTTAGCTGACTGGCCTGCCGGCTGACTGGCCGAGCATCTCTCTCTCTCTCCCTCTCTCCCTCTCTCCCCCTCTTCTCTCTCCCTGTCTGTGTGTGTACCTGTGTGCGTGCTTGTTATCGTAGCGACACGAGGCGCCCCGAGGCAGGTACGCCGGTACCGACACCGCGACGAGGCGCCATACGAATCGGAGATGAAAGTCTCGGTCGGTCGGTGGCTGCGCCGTGCGACGACAATTTCAGGACGGTATATCCATCCCACCATGGAGCTGGATCCGCAATCACGATTCTTGGGTTTGGGGTATCCTGCTTGCTCCTGCTTCTGCTCCTGCTTCTGCTTCTGCTTCTGGCTCTGCTTCTGGCTCTGCTTCTGGCTCTGGCTCTGGCTCTGGCTCTGGCTCTGGCTCTGGCTCTGCTTCTGGCTCTGGCTCTGATGCCGCGTCGGAGATGGGAAGAATTTTCCTCCTGCGGGTAGTATACGGAGT